GATTTTCGAACTTGACCTGCGTATTAGGAATATTCACCAGTTCTGTAAGTTTCAAGCCAAAAGCAAAAACGGTGTTCCACTTATCATGTTATCAGTAAAAGTGCACGACGGCGACGACGGCGACGACGACAGACGCAGATGATGGCTATATGTCTGTACATAAAAACAGTGCTCTTTTTTAATGTTATGTCTCAGAGTCTCAGAATTTGTTTGTAAACCAATCTCAATATTGCTTGCTAATAGATATTATTTCATAATCTATATATTTAATAAATATACACACCTCCTTTAACCTCATATCCCAATACTTTAAAAATAATCATTTCAGATATTGCCACTAACTTTTGACAAAATAAAATTTTCTGAGTAAACACTTAAAGTAATGCAAGCCAAGTTTTTTAACCCAGTTTTAGTGCATGAATCACTTCTTTTTGAACTTACCCAAGGACAATTAAAACATTTCAAAAATGTGTATCAACAGATAAATGGCCTTAATCAAGGTTACAAAAAATATTCACTGTCAATCCTGTTAACCTCAGTGGTTGACCATCTTGACACAGTTTGAAAATAATGCTTGTTCTTAAGTCAGCAGGGCCTGTACCAAAGAGCGCATTCCCTGGGGGTTCACGCTAAATTACTGTCAGCTGAGGATGCACAGTAGTTAATTTCCCCTTTACAGCTTTTAGTAGGTGGGACAGACATTTAAGCCGGCTAAGCTGACAGCCCACAGGGATAGATCGATCTAAAATCTGTGGGAACGGGATCAAAGTCTCCTAATAAGCACAGGTTTTGGACTTTTGTTTTTTTCAATATTTTGTTTTTTGCAGAGTTATGGCAAATGTCAGAAAAGGAAGATTAAAGATTGGTAACTTGGGGGGGGGGGGAGGGGGGATATGTCGTTTACCCTAGAAAAATTCATTTAATATGAGTTTATGGTGGAAAAATCTTGGCTTCAAAGGCTTCAAGTTTCACTTACCTCACTGTGAATACTGCGGTCATCATACATTATCTTTTTTGTTAGGAATTCCAGGGCGTCTTTTCCTCTCAGGTCATCGTACAGCATAAGTGCAGAATTCAGATCTCTCAGAAATCGACAAGTTATCATTGTATTACGCATTTCAGGTATACGAAGCGCTTGGCGCTCGGCTTCATTTCTATTTTCAATGACCCAATTTTCGTACCCCTGACTGCCCTTATCAAACTTCTTGGACAATTCCATGGGAAAGCTGACTTCCTTTTCACTTGCTTCCATCATTTGTTTTACCATTAAGATGAAGGGATCATCAGACGAACGAGGCTGTACCAGTTTGATCTGATCTGTTTTGGGTTTGGGGTTAATGCAAAGCAGCTCTCTTTCATTCACTGGGTTCCTCACATGACTGATGGTGAAGCAGTCTAAATTGGCGCAGACCCGATAATAATGCTGCAGAGGATCGTTCCCCTTTCCAGTGCCCAGCGAGGCTGAAAGCCCAATAATCTGAGGAAGGCACTCTGTAGACGCCCCTCTTTGCTCTCGATTCTTTTTCTCCGTCATGTACAGCCTCATTATCATGTTGTATGGGTGATCCAAATCTGTGTGATGACACTCGTCCATTATCATTAGGTCGAAATCGGTGATTTTCACATCTCCTTCTTTGATATCATTGACGAGAATCTGTGCTGTAAGCATCACAATGTCATTGTTCAACAAACATGTCTTCAAATTGTCCGAAGTCTGACTTATGGCACCAACTATTTTATCCTGGGGCGGGAAAATGGTTTGAAAGGCATCTTTTTGCTGCTGGATTAGATTTCGAATACAAACGATGAAAACTGCTTTGAATTTCTGGCCATTTTTCAGCACCTGGCTTCTTCTGATGCGAGAGATATACGCTGCAGTCAGGGTCTTGCCACTTCCAGTGGGGGCACAGATGATGGTATTTGTACCTTTTCTGGCCTCGTCAGCCAACTCACGCTGATATTTACGCAAAGAAAATTTCTCCTTTGTTGGGACGCCATCTTGGACAAGATGCTCCAGAGGGACAGACGCCTGTCTGATTATGCCTTCATTTCTTTCTGTCATTTCACCTGCTGCCTCTACCACTGGTTCACTACCAATGAACGCTGCTTGAGCTAAAAGATAAAAATTAAGATCAATGACAGAATTATGATACTAGATCCTAATTACAAGGTAAAATTGCTATGACAGTAATATATATTTTATTTAATAGAAATGATTTTCATCACAAAATCTATAAAAACAAATATAATAATTAGGAACAGCATATACAATTTTAAGCATGTGAATGGAGGTGCAAACTCATCTCATATTTGAAAGATACACATGCATCTAGCCAAAAGCAATACCCTTAAATAATTGCAATTACACATTCTAAACTAGAAGTATATTTTATTTAAAATATGTGTTTTTATCAATATAATAATTCCTATGAAACATTCCTAAAACACTAGAATTATTTTTAAAAAGATGAAATGAAAAACAAAGAAAGTCCTAGAATGGTTTAATTGAGCTAAGCCAGGGCATATCAGGAGAGTCAGGTACCCATTTAATAAGTATTTATTCCAAGAAAAGAAAAAACATTGCTGTGTTGTGCATGCAGCACCAATATAAGACTTATAATAGGATAAACAATTAATATACCGATTAAAAGTTCAGAGTCAAGCCTTTCAGATTTTCAAAATTTTCATACGTGCAGCTTGTTTTAATTTGCATCTGGAATTCAGCAGCTCTTGATTGAAGTTCATGCACCAGTCACAATTACCTTACAAATCAGTCTATTCAGTGTGGAGTATGTCACATGCTCTTTCACGTCCCAAAGTACATGTACTAGTAGGCACGCTATCCGATTGACTGAATGCGCATTTAAATTTGGGATTAGTGCTGTAAACTTAAATCAAACTTGTCATTGAATGTCGGAGTGCAATAAGCATGCACATACTAGTATAGCAATTTGTAAATGAGGACAGGCATTAAACCTAATGCTCAGTATAATCCCATATATTCAGTACATATTCAATCAATTACAGAAATATTTACAAAGTCAGTTTATATAACCGTGTGTCTCATATTTACCTATAGAAGCACCACATGCAGAATCTTCCTCTAAATCTTCTCTATCACCATACACTTGCTTGCGTGCAGTTTCCAAACTCAGACTATCAAGAGAAGCTGGACGTTGGGGTTCTTCAACGTTGCCAACGCCAACAGACGAGTTAACAACTTTAACACCTGTCTGCTCACAGTGAGGGCCCGAACTGGGGGCGTTACCATCGAAGCCAACTCGCTGTTTTGGAAATGTCTCTTCACTCTCAACATGGTTAGAGAAAGTAAGGCTTGTGTTCCCATTTAAAGGGCTAAGGGGGCTTGCACCAATGTTACAAGTTCCTGGCTGACTGCCAGTTGTTCCTTGGACATCTAAAAGTGGAGATTGTCCACCTGTGCTACCTATTACTGGTTGATTGGCATTTGATAAGCCTGGAGATGACTCTGAATGAAGCAAATGATATCCGTTTGATGACTTGGCACTTCTCTGAAGCTGAGAATCAGACGATGCTGAATGTAGTGGGAGTGGCTCTTTTTTAGCAGTCTCTTCTCCAGGGCTTTCCACTTGCTGCAAAAGTATTTAATAATATTAATTATTCTGTTATTTTTCCATATTGTGACACAAACTTTAAAACAGCAGAAACTGAAGTTATAATGAGTGGACCTTTTCAACAGCATAAATTATCAGTCTTTCGAAAACATAGTTTTGAAATCATTAATTAAAAACTATTTAAAACTGTTTCTATTAAGCATCTGCCGTGGTCCAAATGTATTACAGAATAGAACTATAGGCTAGGCCACATTTCATATTTGTTGCAATCACTCAATAAGAATGTTCTCATTTTAAAAATTAACAAATCAAAAAAATAAAGTTTCTGTAAAATTCACATTTTCCCCATTGAAAAAAATTGAGACATCACTATTTTCGCTCTTGTTTGATGACAAAAATTACTATAAATGTTAGTTGCCTGACTGTAGAAATCTTTTTTGTTGGGCAAGTAAAGACAACAGGTACAATGTGTATGTCAAAACCAGACAATAAAAAACAACAGATCTACAGTTAAGGGCTGGCTCTGCAAAGGTAAATATAGGACCTAGTAATATTACTGGTACATGTATGTACTAATACTGTAGCATGTTAGAAAATTAACAATATACATTTTCCTGCTTTATTGATGAGAGAAATGGCTTAAGTCTTGATATTTTTTCTACTTTACTAATGATTAAGATGGCTTGTTAAATGCTATTAAAACCAGTACTAATATCACTCACCTCTGGATATCTCGCGTCCTTGTCAGGTGCTTGCAATTCAGAGTTCCGTGCTATTAATTGAAAATTATATGCTTAAATTATCAACACCTAATTTTTACAGTATCTCTATTTTAGTCTGTGAGTTGCGTCAGGTCAGTTCAATACATTTGTTAACTGAAGGAATAGAAAAAATACATATAACGGTACTAGGGGAGAATCAAACCGTACAAAAAAAAAAAAAAAATCAAATAAAAAATAATAATAAATATAAATTAAAAAAGCCACATCTGTCGAGTAAATCATGTCTAAGCACTCTGATTTAGTTTCTTTGATATGCATAACTGAGTATATTTGATAATTTGTGATAATTAGTACATGCTTATGTAAAATTATCAACTAGTATTCGGCCATTCTCAGTAACTAGGTCCAATTGATGTTCCAGGCCTTGGTTCCGTAAATAAAAGACAATTAAGTCTGTTCACTGACTCAAAATGTCGTGCACCTTATGACCAACTTATAAGCCAAAATAGTCAGTATTCTGTGATTCATTGCCAGAAAAATAATAATTTTGATAATAAAAATCAAACCTTCGTTACTGTCGCCAAACACCATCTCCATTAAACATGCTAAATTTATACCACGACAATATATTCTTCTTTTTGTGATGCACCTTTTTTTCATGTCACATAACATCGTTTTTTCAGATAAGGTTATTTAAACATCAGTATGCATGGCTGTTTGAATATTATTCCTTTGATATGTAGTGTCGCCCGAATTTTGATTTTTCAAAAAACCTCCGTTGTGCGATTTTAGACACGGCTAATCTGCAAGAAATCATTCATGAACATTTCATGAAAGAAGTTCGTTCCTAACTTGATATAATAAATGTTTTAAACAAGACAAAATAACAGAAGCCAGGTCTGTTTTTTACGATGTATGAATGAAGTTTCACAGATGAATTCAGTTAATGAGTAAATGACAAAACCTTCGTGATCATTAATCCTAGTACGTTCTGTCCAAAAAACCTGCCATATATCACTTTAATCATGAAGCAGACTTCGGACCATTCGAGAAAATCACATCTAACTTGTGTTTTGAGGAAAAAGCAGTAGGAAACCTAGATAGTCTAAGGTGTTATTAAACCTTCGTTACTTAAACTTTCGTTACCGATATCCTAAAACTAAATAAAGAATAAAGAATAACTCAGTATTTAAGTACTTATTTGCCGCCTTTTGCTGCCTTTTGTACAACAGCCGCCATTGAGAGCAGCAGACGAATCTCGTGCAGCAGACTCTTTCTGTTTTGAAAGCAACTTTTCGTGTGTAAGTATGCCTAAATTATTATGACTAATTATAGTGTGACCAAGCGGGCCTACCTAAAATGTTTTAATGGGATATTATAACCAGAATCTTTCTTTTTTACAAGTACAAATTGAACTTGATAAATTGTTGCATATAAAATGTAATTCAAACGTAGGTTTGCAATTTGAATATTGTTTTGTATACCACTTACTGTGACATAATTATATCAGCAGGGCATAAATAATGTGCGATACTAGAAGAACAAATAGTTGTTATTTTTTAAAACTTGAATATTCATTGATTTATAAAACACAGAAGAAAATAAAAGATGGTGAATTTAATTAACATGTATATATTAATGTACTTGAGATTAATCAGCTTGCTGGAGGAGAAGAGATGAATATCTGGCATGAACGATACATTGTGTATTTAATAAATATCCTCTTAAGTTGCAAACAAAATTTGATTTTGATTGAAAGAGATTTCTGCTGTATTTGAAAAAGACTAATCAAAGGTAACGAAAGTTTCATGTTGGTAACGAAGGTTTCTAATAATTTTAGGGTCATAATAAGATACAGATATGGTAAAGAGTAGAGCAGAAATACAAAAAGCGTATAGACAGAGACTTAAGGAAAGGAATGCAGAAGAATATCTAAGAAAAGAACATGAAAGGGTTAGACGGAATTACATTCCATCCTCTGCACTTTCAAATGATGAAAGGCAAAAACGGAATGCGAAAAACCGTGAAAAGTTGCGTCTATTCTACGCTAGAAAACGCGAAGAAAGGGCGCACAATGACATTNCTATTCAGTGTACCGTACATCTCTCATATAAATACAAATACATGCAATGAACAGAAACGAGTGAAAAGCTTCATTTTAGTAGAAAAATATATTGCAGTGAAATAGATAAACATAATAAAATGTGACCGAAAAGTTTGTTTGACAACACCTGTTTTGAACCAAAAGGTTCAAGTATCAATTGTATCATCTTTGTGTCACTGATAAATATATTGAGATATCACCATAAAGTATGTTAGTCTTTGAAACCTAAAAGCCATTTGGCTTTTACGATGTTCGTTTTGTTACAAACACACCATGATCTTATTAATGAACTCACATTTGCAGTCAGGTTACTGATAACGTCTGTCTCATAATGGAGGTAACGGAATAGTTTCCTCAAGGCAACAACATCTACCTCGGTACCATTACGTTCTGGAAGCCAGTCCACGGAAAATGTCTTGTTGTTGATAATGAGTGCACGACCTCTCGGTTCGGAATCGTTCTTGTACTGAAACGCACACATACACTGTCTTTATGTGAAATTTATCAATAGAAATATCGGAGGTCGTAGAGCAAGTGTAACAGAGTGAAAAGTGCTCATTTATGCCTAAGTGTATCCAATTTTTCTTACGATTGTGTATATCGGCCATTCTCAGTAACTAGGTCCAATTGATGTTCCAGGCCTTGGTNATTAGGGTGCCCTCGTTAAAGATCATGTGCTAACAGCGTGTGCATCTACCGCGAACTGCAATCATCTCCTGTAGATGGCACGACAAGCCTTCAACACGGGTTACAATTCTGCTTTGTGGGATATTGTCCGATTCTTCTTAAACAAGATGGGGGATTTGGCCCAGGTTTTTATGGGGTTGGTTCTCCTTTGCGTTGCACACTCCAATTCATGTCACAGTTGATTAGTAAGTTTAACAGAAGTCACAGTGAAACAGTCGATTTGAGGGGGTACCTCTTAAAAATTTTACTAAATGGTATAAAATATGTGTATATTCTCACCACTATTTTGTATTTTTAAAACCATTAATCACGTTAGACACGGTATCCGTAATTAAAAGCACTATTTCTAACAATTTACAGCTGTAAGGTGATCATTTGTAAATAAAAGTACATGAAAATAGGGGTGGGACAACCTTTTTGACCAATGTTGTATAACTATACAGTGTACCATACGTCTCTCATATAAATACAAATACATGCAATGAACAGAAACGAGTGAAAAGCTTCATTTTAGTAGAAAAATATATTGCAGTGAAATAGATAAACATAATAAAATGTGACCGAAAAGTTTGTTTGACAACACCTGTTTTGAACCAAAAGGTTCAAGTATCAATTGTATTATCTTTGTGTCACTGATAAATATATTTAGATATCACCATAAAGTATGTTAGTCTTTGAAACCTAAAAGCCATTTGGCTTTTACGATGTTCGTTTTGTTACAAACACACCATGATCTTATTAATGAACTCACATTTGCAGTCAGGTTACTGATAACGTCTGTCTCATAATGGAGGTAACGGAATAGTTTCCTCAAGGCAACAACATCTACCTCGGTACCATTACGTTCTGGAAGCCAGTCCACGGAAAATGTCTTGTTGTTGATAATGAGTGCACGACCTCTCGGTTCGGAATCGTTCTTGTACTGAAACGCACACATACACTGTCTTTATGTGAAATTTATCAATAGAAATATCGGAGGTCGTAGAGCAAGTGTAACAGAGTGAAAAGTGCTCATTTATGCCTAAGTGTATCCAATTTTTCTTACGATTGTGTATATCGGCCATTCTCAGTAACTAGGTCCAATTGATGTTCCAGGCCTTGGTTCCGTAAAGAAAAGACAATTAAGTCTGTTCACTGACTCAGAATGACGTGCACCTTATGACCAACTTATAAGCCAAAATAGTCAGTATTCTGTGATTCATTGCCAGAAAAATAATAATTTTGATAATAAAAACCAAACCTTCGTTACTGTCGCCAAACACCATCTCCATTAAACATGCTAAATTTATACCACGACAATATATTCTTCTTTTTGTGACGCACCTATTTTTCGTGTCACATAACATAGTTTTTTCAGATAAGGTTATTTAAACATCAGTATGCATGGCTGTTTGAATATTATTCCTTTGATATGCAGTGTCGCCCGAATTTTGATTTTTCAAAAAACCTCCGTTGTGCGATTTTAGACACGGCTAATCTGCAAGAAATCATTCATGAACATTTCATGAAAGAAGTTCGTTCCTAACTTGATATAATAAATGTTTAAAACAAGACAAAATAAGAGAAGCCAGGTCTGTTTTTTACGATGTATGAATGAAGTCTCACAGATGAATTCAGTTAATGAGTAAATGACAAAACCTTCGTGATCATTAATCCTAGTACGTTCTGCCCAAAAAACCTGCTATATATCACTTTAATCATGAAGCAGACTTCGAACCATTCGAGTAAATCACATCTAACTTGTGTTTTGAGGAAAAAGCAGTAGGAAACCTAGAGAGTCTAAGGTGTTACTAAACCTTCGTTACTTAAACTTTCGTTACCGATATCCTAAAACTAAATAAAGAATAAAGAATAACTCAGTATTTAAGTACTCATTTGCCGCCTTTTGCCGCCTTTTGTACAACAGCCGCCATTGAGAGCAGCAGACGAATCTCGTGCAGCAGACTCTTTCTGTTTTGAAAGCAACTTTTCGTGTGTAAGTATGCCTAAATTATTATGACTAATTATAGTGTGATCAAGCGGGCCTATCCAAAATGTTAAAATGGGATATTATAACCAGAATCTTTCTTTTTTACAAGTACAAATTGAACTTGATAAATTGTTGCATATAAAATGTAATTCAAACGTGTAAACCTCCGTGATAATTTGGTAACGAAGGTTTGCAGTTTGAATATTGTTTTGTATATCACTTACTGTGACATAATTATATCAGCAGGGCATAAAATTATGTGCGATACTAGAAGAACAAATAGTTGTTATTTTTTAAAACTAGAATATTCATTGATTTATTAAACACAGAAGAAAATAAAAGATGGTGAATTTAATTAACATGTATATATTAATGTACTTGAGATTAATCAGCTTGCTGGAGGAGAAGAGATGGGTATCTGGCATGAACGATACATTGTGTATTTAATAAATATCCTCTTAAGTTGCAAACAAAATTTGATTTTGATTGAAAGAGATTTCTGCTGTATTTGAAAAAGGCTAATCAAAGGTAACGAAAGTTTCATGTTGGTAACGAAGGTTTCTAATAATTTCAGGGTCACAATAAGATACAGATATGGTAAAGAGTAGAGCAGAAATACAAAAAGCGTATAGACAGAGACTTAAGGAAAGGAATGCAGAAGAATATCTAAGAAAAGAACGTGAAAGGGTTAGACGGAATTACATTCCATCCTCTGCACTTTCAAATGATGAAAGGCAAAAACGGAATGCGAAAAACCGTGAAAAGTTGCGTCTATTCTACGCTAGAAAACGCGAAGAAAGGGCGCACAATGACATTGATGAAACAAGTGGATATGAAAGCGAAAGAGACCGCCCTCTTCTAATTAAAATGAATTTCGGAAACAGGCGCAAGGGCGCCGTTCAAAGATGGAAACGGGAGCTATCAGAAGTAAAAGCGAGAATGAAAACGTTGGAGGAAGAAAAGTTAATACTTAAAAAGAGGTGTAAGACAGCTCAGAGGTCACTACAAAGAATGAAAAAGAAGAAGATACAGTGTGGTGAACTGACACCCAGAAAGCAAACTGAAAATCTCATGGACAAGGCACAGCTATCATCCAGCCAAAAGGAGGTAATAAAAAAACCTCTGCTGTTGGCGAACACTATGATGAGAGAAATAAGGGCGACTAAAGAGGGAACCCAAAAAGGAAACGTGAAAGCCATACNTGTCACATAACATCGTTTTTTCAGATAAGGTTATTTAAACATCAGTATGCATGGCTGTTTGAATATTATTCCTTTGATATGCAGTGTCGCCCGAATTTTGATTTTTCAAAAAACCTCCGTTGTGCGATTTTAGACACGGCTAATCTGCAAGAAATCATTCATGAACATTTCATGAAAGAAGTTCGTTCCTAACTTGATATAATAAATGTTTTAAACAAGACAAAATAACAGAAGCCAGGTCTGTTTTTTACGATGTATGAATGAAGTCTCACAGATGAATTCAGTTAATGAGTAAATGACAAAACCTTCGTGATCATTAATCCTAGTACGTTCTGTCCAAAAAACCTGCCATATATCACTTTAATCATGAAGCAGACGTCGGACCATTCGAGTAAATCACATCTAACTTGTGTTTTGAGGAAAAAGCAGTAGGAAACCTAGAGAGTCTAAGGTGTTACTAAACCTTCGTTACTTAAACTTTCGTTACCGATATCCTAAAACTAAATAAAGAATAAAGAATAACTCAGTATTTAAGTACTTATTTGCCGCCTTTTGCCGCCTTTTGTACAACAGCCGCCATTGAGAGCAGCAGACGAATCTCGTGCAGCAGACTCTTTCTGTTTTGAAAGCAACTTTTCGTGTGTAAGTATGCCTAAATTATTATGACTAATTATAGTGTGACCAAGCGGGCCTACCCAAAATGTTTAAATGGGATATTATAACCAGAATCTTTCTTTTTTACAAGTACAAATTGAACTTGATAAATTGTTGCATATAAAATGTAATTCAAACGTGTAAACCTCCGTGATCATTTGGTAACGAAGGTTTGCAATTTGAATATTGTTTTGTATACCACTTACTGTGACATAATTATATCAGCAGGGCATAAATAATGTGCGATACTAGAAGAACAAATAGTTGTTATTTTTTAAAACTTGAATATTCATTGATTTATAAAACACAGAAGAAAATAAAAGATGGTGAATTTAATTAACATGTATATATTAATGTACTTGAGATTAATCAGCTTGCTGGAGGAGAAGAGATGAATATCTGGCATGAACGATACATTGTGTATTTAATAAATATCCTCTTAAGTTGCAAACAAAATTTGATTTTGATTGAAAGAGATTTCTGCTGTATTTGAAAAAGACTAAGCAAAGGTAACGAAAGTTTCATGTTGGTAACGAAGGTTTCTAATAATTTCAGGGTCACAATAAGATACAGATATGGTAAAGAGTAGAGCAGAAATACAAAAAGCGTATAGACAGAGACTTAAGGAAAGGAATGCAGAAGAATATCTAAGAAAAGAACGTGAAAGGGTTAGACGGAATTACATTCCATCCTCTGCACTTTCAAATGATGAAAGGCAAAAACGGAATGCGAAAAACCGTGAAAAGTTGCGTCTATTCTACGCTAGAAAACGCGAAGAAAGGGCGCACAATGACACTGATGAAACAAGTGGATATGAAAGCGAAAGAGACCGCCCTCTTCTAATTAAAATGAATTTCGGAAACAGGCGCAAGGGCGCAGTTCAAAGATGGAAACGAGAGCTATCAGAAGTAAAAGCGAGAATGAAAACGTTGGAGGAAGAAAAGTTAATACTTAAAAAGAGGTGTAAGACAGCTCAGAGGTCACTACAAAGAATGAAAAAGAAGAAGATACAGTGTGGTGAACTGACACCCAGAAAGCAAACTGAAAATCTCATGGACAAGGCACAGCTATCATCCAGCCAAAAGGAGGTAATAAAAAAACCTCTGCTGTTGGCGAACACTATGATGAGAGAAATAAGGGCGACCAAAGAGGGAACCCAAAAAGGAAACGTGAAAGCCATACACAGGGTTATTTCTGGTCGCATCGTCAAGAAGTACAGGTTGGGGAGCTTGCTGGCTGCTTCCACAGGTCTATGCCGACATAGATTGACTACAACGGACAGCAAAATGCACCAACTGAGAAGAGCACAACGATTTAATGCCTGCCGACGATATAAAAGGCAAGTGGAAGAGTTCCTCAAAAGAGAGGATAACAGCCGACAACAACCAGGCAAAAAGGATGCCAAGAAGGTAAAAGATGGATTGTCACAAACTTTTGTTTTAACTGATTACACAAGGAATTTGCACAAAAAATTTTTGTCGGAAAATCCTACAATAAAATTGTCACTTGCATCATTCTGTCGATGCCGTCCAAAATACATACTGACAGCTGCGTATGCAGGTCGCAGCTCCTGCTTATGCACCAAACACCAAAATGCAGCTTTAACTGTCAAAGCCTTAAAGCGTGCAGGGATTGACATACCAGCAAATCCAGAATCTGTCATCAAGAATATGCCCGATGTAAATCAAATTGAAGAGGCTGTTGGTGACTCGACTGTGATTACGCAGTGGAAACGAGTGGAGATAGAGGAAAAGGGAAGAAAGAAATATGTCACGAAAATGATTGAATCCACGCTCGATAGGAAACAAATTGCAAGCCACTTTGAAGGTCAGATGAAGGATTTCAAAGAACATGTCTTCCGTGTGGGTACACAATATGAACAAATCAAGAAACTGAAAGAAAATCTTCCCGCTAACGAGATGATTGTTCAACTCGATTTTGCAGAAAATTACAGCTGTAGGTCTATGGAAGAGGTACAGAGTGCGTACTTTAATCAGACAACCGTCACCCTACATCCCGTAGTTGCCTATTATCGCGTCTCAGGCGAGTTACTCCACAAAAGCTTCATCGTTGTTTCAGATGAAATGACACATGCATCGTCCACTGTCATCGCTTTCGTGGATGAGATAGTTCCGCTCTTGAAAGAGATTGTTCCAGATTTAAGGACTATACATTACTGGAGTGATTCTCCTACAAGTCAGTACAGAAACAAGCACATGTTCGATTTTGTAGCTAACCATGAATCCATGTACCAAGTTAAGGCCAGGTGGAACTACTTTGAAGCCGGCCATGGGAAGGGGCCGTGCGATGGCCTGGGCGGTTCCTGTAAGCGTCTCGCTGACCAAGCAATGAGAGCAGGCAAGGCCGTGATACAAGACGCAAATTCTTTTTTTACATGGGCTGTCCAGTCGAGCATGACAAACGTCTCTTTTCTGTTTGTGTCTGCAGCAAAGTGTGAGAAAAAACAAAAAGAGCAGGAAAAGAGAGTAATCAAGCCACTAAAGGGAACTATGAAAGTACATGCCGTTGTGGGTTTGGGGGCATCGCAGGTCAAGGTTCGCAATGTCAGTTGCTACTGCGACATCTGTTTGTCTGGAATAACTTGCACTACCTGGCAAAACCAGGTGTTGCAAGTCACCACCTACGATGACAACGATCAAACCTCAGGTCTGGATGCTGATGAGACACCCGAGAGAGATGCCGCTGTCCTGACTGTCGGGCAGTACGTCGCAGCAATTTATGATGGGGAGTGGTATATTGGAAAGATCTCTGATACGGATGAGGAGGATGAAGAGGTGGAGGTGTGTTTTATGGAGAAACGCAAGCAGTTGCTACAATGGCCTTCTAGAGAAGATAAAATCTGGCTAAAACACGACGCCATTTTAACCGTGATCAGTACGCCAGAGGCTTGTGGAAAATCACAACGCATGTTTAAACTGTCGGAAAAGGACAGAGAACGCATACTGAATATGTTTTAAAAGAAGTTTATTTTTATTGTTAATGTTTGAACATGTTGATGAACAGATATTTACTTGTTGTTACAAGTATGTTACTCTCAGACTCACTTTCAGAAGTTAATTAAATAATTTTACAGGATTATAAAACTTTCGTTACAAAATGTCATTTTACCCTATAATCCAAGGCGGAAAATATCAAATAGAGACTTTCTACTGTTTGTTTGTAAATCACAGCAAGATGTAGCCTATGTTATGCGAATCTTTAAAGTGATCTTAAAGCTTAATTTTAGTCTTTGATATAAATGCAAACTGTGGAATATATTTAAACCTTCGTTATGTATTATGCATTTACGTTAACCTGACCTATCTTTTCCAAGGTGGAAACTTCAAACCTGGGAGCTTTACTATTTGTTTTGAAATGAAGTATTTTGTCTGTTTAACAATGAAACAAAGGCTACATTTTTGCTTTTTGTAACTTTTTTTTCCTTTAATAAATTATTCGCTTAATGTNCATATATTTAAACCTACGTTATGTATTATGCATTTACGTTTACCCGACCTATCTCTTCCAAGGTGGAAACTTCAAACCTGGGAGCTTTACTATTTGTTTTAAAATGAAGTATTTTGTCTGTAAAACAATGAAACAAAGGGCAGATTTTTGCTTTTTGTAACTTGTTTTTCCTTAATTAAATTATTTGCTTAATGTACACACAAATCGACCGAAATTAGATGCAGTGTTTTGTTATATATAGTACAGAGTGAAATCACAGCAAGATGTTAGTGATATTTTTTAAACTTAGTTTCAGTTTTATACATCTTAAATACCAAAATGTGGAATGTCATGTCAGTGTTTAAAACATTAAATCTTCGTTACGAAATGTGTGTTTCATTTGTACCCGGACTACATGTATATATTAAAGGGTAGAGAGTACTTACCAGGGAACACTTTTCTGAAAGAAGGCACATAGGTTTTATTTAACACGAAAACCAAGCCTTACGGGTGTCTTAGATTTACTGTGGGAAAAAGGACAGACTCATGTGTGAATTTTGAAAAAGTTTTTTTCATTTACTCTGATCGCACAACATTTTTAGACAAAGGCTCTGGTGTGCATTTTCTGCCCTGTATCTTTTATTTCTACTGTGCAGAATTTGTGCAACATAACTATTTTAAACTGTATCATTTTGAAAAAGCCTAGCTTGCTGCATAAGTTCATACGACGCCTCAAACTACGTGTACTTCTGTGATCACGAAGGTTTTTTGTGCCCAGTTTTGAGTCTCTATACCCCTTTGTTACGGCACACGTATCTCAGGATCGGTGAAAGTGTTGCATACAGAATTTTTGGGCAAATTTACTGAATAATACAGGGTCACTTTAGAGCATAAAACAACATCAAAATGATAAATTCAATTTTCACTTTTTAAAAACCCTAATTGGACCTAGTTATTGAGAATGGCCGATTACTACAGAAATGCATTTAGTCAAATTTTTGAAAGTGAAAGTAGACCAAGAATTCAGTTACTTACCACGATCCTCTTCATAGTCTTCAATGACTTTTACCAAATCACGTCGATCGATTTGCTCCATAATTTCCTTGAGAAAACCAACGTCATTAGGTTCAATAAGGTTCCTTTTTTTCATGGCATTCCAAAGCTTCTGAGGGTTTGAAATCTCCTCCAATTCGCCGGCAGGTATTTCTTCCTGTAGTGCCAATTTTATTAACTCAAAGTCTTCTGTCAGCAGTTCTTTGCATACACGAATACCCAATTTAGCATATGGGCTTAATCTGCTTTTTGATTCAGCCATAATTCTGAAATAAAAAAATAGCGACGAACCTACATCATTTGACTGTTTCTTGTTGGTGTGAAGTTTTCCCAGACAAATTTTCCAGGTTCTAAATTTAGTAACATGGAGAAATAGGTCAAGAATAGTCTTGCAGTGCCCAGTTGATAAAAATATTAACAAATATTTTTTCGATAATTTGGTTAAAGTACAATTTGTATTGGCAATGATAGAAATAACATGATAATATATCCTGGTTAAACATTATTTTATTTTACTGATTGTCAATTAAAATCTTACAAAAAGAACACAAAATGGGTCCGTAGTACTGCTTCCTGCCCGCCATATTTGCTCTCTCGAGGCCGGGAGAAAACAACAAAAGCTCCAATGCTCTCATCATTGGGAAATAGGATTCGTTCATTTATTCAGCCAGAAAAAGAAAAAGATTCGCAAGACTCTCGCGGGGGCAGCAGAAAGCGTCCTGCTAGCAGGTAACGCATTTAAATAGCTACAACACAACCGTATTCAATGTTTCACCTTGCATTTAAATTTACTAGTGATATATAGTCCACAGCTTTTCAAATCGAACTAACGAAAATTAAAATTCGTGCAAATAATGAAGTAGCCCCCCTTAATTTTTTTCGCGAGATGCAGATGACAAGCAATTTAATTATAAAAATTAAGTTGGTTCAAACACCACACATGTCGCGGCTTTCGAGTGTTTCCCAGGTTGTACTATTCTACTCCTACTACTACTACTAGTGCTGTATGTTGAAGTGCAGAAGTATCCTAGACCCCATTCCCAGAGGTTAGGTCGATCCAACTACATCGACCTAACTCCCTGGGGGTTCACGCTAAATAGCTGTCAGCCGAGCAGGCACGAAAGTTGGTACTTTTGTAGTATACCCCCCCACCCTGTAACTTTCTGTAATTTTCACTTTTCAAACAGTTTTTTACATTTTCTTGTTCATCTATGTCAAAGCTGTTGAAATAAAATGCTTTTGTAATTACCTGTGGACTTTTTATTAGTTTTAATCACGTTTAATCCAGCCCATTGAAATACAATGTTAGAATCTTCAATTTACACCCGCAGTCAATAACTTGCCGCATTTTTGTTGGCTAACTCTAAGGAATTTTATGTGAACAAGTTGCTCCTAATAATTTCACAGAGGAAGTCCAAGTATACAATGTATCAATCCCATGTTCACATAAAATAAGGTAGAGTTAGCCAACGAAAATGCGGCAAGTTATTGACTGCAGGTACATTGTAAATTTTCACATTGTATTTCAATGGGGTGGATTAAACGTGATTAAAACTAATAAAAAG